ATTATATCTACGGATTTAATGCAGACAAAATCCGGGAATTAAATAGTTGACTGAAGGGCTAAAGTAATGTAAAGTAAAGGTCCCTACAGACCGAACGCGATTCGGCAATGCGACGCGATTTTTCTGAATCAGTTTTGAAGCGAAATAGCTGCTCTTTAAAGGACATTTGTAAGTCATGCACACCAGACGAGTCAAAATCTACTATCGTTAAGTAATTTTCAAATTCATTTGCTTCGGAATACTGAAAAATCGCGTCATGTTGCCGAATCGCGTTCGGTCTGTGGAGACCTTATTCAACGTTAAGTTATAAAAATCGGTTACCAAAATTGAAACCGAAAAGTATTGCACAACCAGGAACTTTTGTGTATAAAACCCCGGTTACAGAAGAGCAAGATTTCTATTACAAGTTTTATAATGAAAAGTTTTATTTGCTCATCTGTATTTTGCCAAGTTGCCCATAACAAGGAAACAGAAATGCTGACAAATAGTCAAGTTTTTCGATTTTAAAATAATTCAGTCAAGTCTCCGCTATACTATAGCTACTCATGCAAGACTCCATAAGACACACTATCTAACACTATTACTTGCCAAGCATTATTAAGAGGACTCGCAAAAGTCCGTTTTTCTGAGTTATGACCAGTACCAGCAGACCGTTTAAGAAAATAAATAAGGACGAAACAACCAAGCTAACAAGTAGATCAAATTACAAAGCTGCCACCACAAACTACAAAGTGTGGGTGTTAAGCAAAAAGTCCTAAGTATATTGGTGGTCCTCACAATGTGATCCTCGCAAATAGAACTTGTCAAATGAAAACTTGTCATAGAAAACTTACTCGTCTATAACCATACGCAAAAACCCCACTGGACATTGTATTATGTGATGTTTTAATGACCTTTCTTCTCATTGCAACTAAACTAGTAAATAAAAGCCAAACAAATCTGTATTAAATCTATCATGGCTGTGTTTGCAGTAAAAATAATTTTCCGCCATTTATTTCCAAAAAAGTTGCATGGGTCTGAAATATTATGTTAATAAAACTCTTTACATATGATTCTTACAAATAACATTATTGCTATTGTAAAGAAATGAATATGTTTTTGTGAATGATTCAAATTTACATTTGAAGAGACTAATGGCCTAGAATTACTCATACAACAGATACCAATACCATGTTGCAACATGATGACTCATCACTGTGGTTTATATAAGCGATCGATGCTGAGTTTTAGGAATCACTATAAGCTAGAAAACAATGTCAATGGGTCTTTTTCAAGATATAGAAGGGGACTTTGTAAATTGTCAGCAACTGCGAATTATTACAACACTAAAAGATCTAAAATCAACCTTGGGTCCTTCTATAGAAAACAATGTCAATGGGTCTTTTCAAGATATAGAAGGGGACTTTGTAAATTGTCAGCAACTGCAAATTATTACAAAACTAAAAGATCTAAAATCAACTTTGGGTCCTTCTAAATACTGCCCGGAGCTCCCGAGAGCGCCCGGGAGCACGTGAGAGCGCCCGAGAGTATTCCAGATAGTATAAATGAGTGTACGATCCTTTCTGAGCTTCTTTGAGTCATTTATATTGACGAAAAATAATATTAAAAGTGATTTTCAACAACCTAACTTAGCTTAGCAACAATTTAAGATATAAAATAATTATAGTCTTGTATTTCTTAAAATGGCGGTTTTCAAATTAGCTTGATCTCTTGGCCAGTTGAACATAGGCGCAAAAATGTGTTGTAATCCCTGTTATTTTGACATTTTACATCGACTTATATATGGTGAATGACCACTCTCCTCCACAGAGCCTTACGAATTTTTAGTAAAATTGTGTAATATTAAGGGGGAGGACAAATTACACAAGGTATGATGGGTCAATCATCGATCTCACCCCCCCCCGTCGCGCACCACTAAATATCCTTTACTATCCCTACAAATCCTATATAATTCAGACTCTGCGGAGGAGAGTGGTGAATGACAATGTTTATAAAATTACATGTTTATATAATTACCGTCGTTTCGCCCCAATCTCATGTTTGCCTCTTGGCCAAACAACCCCCAAGGCTACCCCCCCTCCCATGTCACACATTTTGTGAAAAGCCCTTTAGCAAAATAACTGTTACTTCAATGTTTTTCAGCTCTTTTACTTGGCTTTTGCAAACTTTTGATTGGTAAACTTTAACTCAAAATACGTTCTCATTGGCAGGAATAACCACTGTACAAAAACATGTGAAAATTCAACTCAGCAATGGAATGCTGGGATAACCTTCATTTGCCCACATGCTGTATATCCCAAAACAGACAGCCATACTATGCATGTTGAAAATGATACTGCAATTTTGAATTATTGCAAAACAGCTGAAGCATAATTTAAGTGATAAAATTATGTAATATAAGTCATTAATTGGTACAGTGCATGACCACCTAGTTCTAACCCTCATTTGATGTCATTTCCATGGTAAATCCAAAAAATTATGACTGATGGTGGGTGGCACTGCCTAGTAGCTACGTCTCACATACACCACTTTCATAATTGAGACCAATTTAAATATTCTTTTATGTGCATCTTAATAAGCCTTCTCAGCCTCATTTGTATGATGGAAATTGCAAAGAATCGAACGCAAACAAGGCTGATTAAGATGCACATAGGATTACTGACTTGTAAAACCATTGATGCATTATGATGCATTTCTGTTGAAAGCATTTAATTATTTCTAGTTGTACTAAATATGTTCATGGGAAATAGTTATTTTTGTGTATCATTGTATTTGTAAATACAGTATAGCATCAGTGTATTATGACACTATGGTAATTTTTTTGTGTGAATAAAAAAATATTTCAAACCAGATCGATTTTCAAATTTTTCTCTTGGGGTTGCCAGAATTCAGGGGGTGCCAAAAATTAATACTACCATCATTTAATCCATTGTATTTAAATTTCTGAGGGGGTACAAAATCTTTTTTGGGGGAGGGGGTGCCAAACATCACTGGGGGGGGGATATTTAGTAGGCTGTACACCCCTAAACCCCAGAAAATCTGTCTGTTTCAAACACTCATTTGAATGTCATTTCCATGGTAAGTCGAACAAATTAACTTTTAATTGATGGTGTCATTGCCTAGTAGTTCATTTACGGACATATAGAACAAAATTATATTTTCTGACATATAGAACGAAACAAACTCCAAATATCATCATCTTGCAAACTCAAGATTTGAGTTAAAATAACAAGACACAAAATTCTGGTGATATGTCGACTTTATTGCAAAGTCATTGTCAAACCAATTAACTATTTATAAGTGTGCTCAGATCTTTAAAGGTGAGGAAAACAGGAAAATTATGTCAGTATAGATATGGTATGAAATACGAACCTATTTACAAAAGTTACAATTAAGCCATATCATCCAGTTTACAGAAAAAGCACAAGTTCTTTCCAAGCTTTAAGACCATTGTTGAGTGTAGGTGTTTTAAACTTAATATGAAGTGCTTGCAGGAATAGCAAAAGATTTGAGTTAGAATGTTGAAGAAAGAACTTGTGCTTTTTTTGTAAACTGGATCATTTTAACCAATTGAAGAATTGGTCATATTATAATATTTGACCAATTGAATATTGGTTGTTTCGACCAATATTTAATTGGTTGTATTTTCAACTAATTTCAAATGGTAGATTTAACCAATTAGTTGTTGTTAAATCAAAATATTAGACTTATACTTTAAGTCTATAAAGAGCAAAGTCAAAGGCATATTTAGTGATATGGTTTTAACCAGCATTGGGTCAAAGTTGTCAGTATAATTATAAATCAGTTAAACTTAAAGTTGCATCTTGACCTCGGGGTAGACTTACATAGGATAGATAGGAACAAACGGAGGTATTTCACAAAAAGGCCAGGTCACACGTTTCACATATCAAGATGGCGGAACGACCAGATATGCAGGAGGTATGTAAAACACTGTTGATGTTGTAAAACACTGTATAGTGTATAGAAACATGCCAACAACTGCTGACAGGGTGGGTTAGGCACATAGGATAGGTCTGGAGGCAGATCATTAATGAGGTATGGACTAATAGCGGCAGCTACTCAAGCGCCATTTGTAAGCTCAAAGTCTACCTCGGTCTGCTTCACGTCAGTCTGGTTCTATCTATCTATTCATAATGTAACCAGTCACTGAAAAGCCCTGATAGGGAGTGTGTTGTGAAATATCTGTATCTGTATCTGTACCTTTTCCTTCACCACATTCTTCTTTCGTTAATATACTTTCACGTTTAATCTACATTAAAAATACATTGATATATAAACTATAGAGCAGAGATATTGACTTTCATCTGAATATATTAATAATTCATGAAATTATTAATATATTCAGATGAAAGTCAATATCTCTGCTCTATAGTTTATATATCAATGTATTTTTAATGTAGATTAAACGTGAAAGTATATTAAAGAAAGAAGAATGTGGTGAAGGAAAAGGTCAGCAGTTGTTGGCATGTTTCTATACACTATACAGTTTATCATTAATTATAAGACCCGATTATTATAAATACAATAGTGAAGCACTGTTTTAAATACGCCTTATTAATTCTGCATCATGCCTATTCAAAAATATCCTCATATGACATATAGATGTCGGCTGAAATTGTCAGTGGTGCTAGACAGGGGTGTAGGAAGCAACAAAGTTGGGGGCACTACATCATAAGGGCACCTTTTTCATTAGAAAAGGGCATTTTTCCCATTGTTTTATCTCGAAAAAAGGGCACTTTGGGGAAAATTATCTTAAAAAAGGGCACTTTGGATCAAATTTGGGGGGGGGCACAGTGGCCTCCCCCCCCTTCCTACCCCACTGGCGATGGACATCTTAGTTTCAGAGGGGGCTAATTCTACAAAATTTGGTGACAAAATAACCCAAAACGTCCAACATGTGTAATGCCCCCCCCCCCAACACATTCTAAAACGCTATTTCATGCATTCTGAGATTCAGTTCTGTGCAACAAACATTTATTTTCAATGACTTTTTAGTACACATTTAGCCAATTTTAAAGTATTTGTTGAGGGGGGGTTTCTTAGGTACTGTCTCCCCCCATCTGGCTTTAGCCGCCTGTTGCACCACCCTTGGAAACATTTCTTTTTATAAATCCAGGTTTTAGTATTATATACAGGGTGTATCAAAAAAAGTAAGACAATTTTGAAATTGCTCTCAATTCCACAATTCTGTTCATGAAATGTAATTTTTTATATGTATGGATTGCTTGAGTTCTTAAATTATGGAAAATATAAAAAATTTTGAAAATAGTAAATTTTGCTATCCAGGGGGGTGGTCAACTTTTGCTCCCCTAAAAGTGGCTTGCGCATGGAAATGACAAACAGTATTCTTTATTTGAGTTCATGTATGAAAAGTTCGCTATTTGTTGCATTTATGATAAAATTTCGGCAGGATTTTACCAAGTACAAATCCTCCGAAAAGCCTATGAAAATATTACATTTTTCTCTGTTGGTGCTGTTCTTGCTTCATTATGAATTCATTTTTACTCCCATGAGAGTTCCATGGAATTTCCATGGAATTTGTTCTTTTGCGTTGTTTGTGCTGAAACGCATTTTCTCATATAATACCCCATAGACTTTGAAATGGCAATGCCACAATTTACCCTGCAGCAGAGTACATGCATGTGCATGCAGTGTAGCACGCTTTTCAGTAGCAAATTTTCGTTCTCTGTTTAGATTTTAATATAATTATATGAAAATCTAAAAAATATAATTTCAAAATCGAAAGTCCAAAGTCCATAGTTCAAAGTCCAGTGTTTACAATATGCCAAAGTAAAATTGCAATGAAATATTCTGCATGTATTAATTAAATTAAACAAAACATTTATTAAATGCATCATACAGAGAGCCGGATTGCAAAAACTTGCAAATAAGGTCTTTTTTAGAGAAGAATTACAGAATATTCAACCCAAATGAAAAATCAAATCGGGCTTTGCCTTTGTATCAGAATTTGAACCGCAACTCACTCAAGTACAGTAAAATTGTGATGTGCTTAATAATACTGACCACTCTAAATAACACTGACCATTCCAATTTCCATTTGTTATTTGGCATGAAGAATATATTTCATAGCATGTCACATGAAAAATTGTCAGCCGGTGAGAGGCGAAAGGCCCGTAAAAATTACTGTAAATCACTGTATAAAGACTGAAAGTTCTCAAAATATGAAGTCTTCCCAATTATGAAGTCTACTATATGACGCAACGGAAGGGATGCCACCAATTTAGATATCTTCAGGCAGTCATCATCATCAAAGTAAACAGTGCAGAATCTGACCTCTCGATGCGTGATTGGTTGCGATAAAACATGGGCACACTCCTTTTCATGACATATTAACACTTCATTGAGACTGAAGCGAAGGAAAATGCCAAATCTACGACGCAGACATGGAATAAAAACAGTCGCTATTTCCACAATTTCACTAATCAATGCACACCATTAAAAATTATGGACACGACTACATGAGTGAAATGATTTAAAACTGAATTCCAAAACATATACAGACTGTTTTTATTTCTCGTGCGCGTTGTAGATTTGCCGTATCTTTTGCTGACACTCTTTGGACACCTCCACATTACACGTCTAGATCATGTTTAAAAGCGTATTAACACGGATGCAGCATAATTATTTTGAAAAAGAGTGAAGCTGTATACTCCTCATGATATAATTAATTCTGATCTAACACACTCACAGCTAAAGCGAAGGGAAGAGCAAAACAATGCCAATGAACTGTTATCAGAAAACTTTGATTTGAATAAAATATGAGATTGTTTATCAAACAAAATATGTAAAGTTTTAGCGCTATAATCCTATATAGCTTGAATCTATTCCCAATCACAGGCAACATGCTCCCGGTAAAGTGTTCATCAAGTCCATATTTTTGTTATGATTCTCTGTTAAATACCTAAAAGGATTATCTTTTGCTCTTTCTTGTTCACATGTGTCCTGCCAAATATTATATAACAAATTGTGTTCCTCAACTGTTAATCTGTGCCGTCTTTTGTAGGTAGTCCGATAGTCTTGAAATGATAACATTGCAATAGCGACAGCTGGGAACACGACAAGCTCGTCTTATATGCCGATCACTTGAAGATTTCGGTTTAATATTTCGTTTTTGTGAGTCTGGTGAAGGTAATTTACCATGCTCTTCTTTACTTATCCCAAAGTGAACTCTTTTTAAATGTCTATCTAGTCGCTTAAAAAATAATCCATGTTGACTACACAAGGGCACTCGACAAACTCCACCAGTCATTCCGTGGCGATGTAACTGCATGTAAATAAAAATTAAAAACCCAAGCAGTCAAGCACAGACAACATGCTCTATCATATGCAAAATGCTATGGTAACGATACGATCACCGAAGCAAAAAATTAATGCGGCCGCACTTAATATTTATATATGGATATTTCTGGACCATAAAGCCCCCTTCTTTGGCACATTTTTTTGACGTAAAAAATTAGCATTGGATCTTTTGGTCTAAATGTATTTGCCGTAATAAATTTCTTGTTTGCTATAAACCACGTAATCAACTATTAATATAACCATTGGCATTGCTATATAGGTTTGAGAATTGTGACCTCAATTAAACCATAGCCTCGTTTGCCACAGCTCTCTGCCTCTGGACTGGCCTTGTGTGTTCTTTTGAAATTTGAACAGTCACACTAGTCTAAATATAGTCTATTACATTTTCAGTGAACATTGTAAGCTACTGCAATTAAACTCATTCTCCGGTATATATTCTGCGATTGTTTTAGGACGTTTGCATGAGATTGTTTTAACACCTACACTCTGTCTACTATCATAATATATAGTTATATATAAATACTAAATCCGAATAACATTTTGATTTATTAGCTGGGCTGTAATAAGGCCACAGCTCTTAAAATGCTAATTTTCTGTGTTCGTCAATGACGAGAAATCGAGTTTCATTGGACAGGCAAACGTATCGCCTCAGGATAACTTAGGATAAGTTTCAAGATTGTTTGCATTCTGCGCATTTTAATAGTCGCATTTTATAGCTTCTTCTCGTAAGCCTCAAAGATGTGCGTTTTCTTTTCAGATTTGAAGGCAAGTACATTATATATATCACATGTCTACTTAAATATTATTATACATTATATATATCACATGTCTACGGTGCGCTGCACCGGAAACGCAGGGCCGTAGGTTCAATTCCTACCAGAGGACCTTGTGCTGCATTTTTCGCAGTCGTTCCTGGTTAGGTCTTAAAATGTATATATTCTCACTTGGATTACAAACCCTAACATTCTAATATTAATTCCGCCAAGTGAAGTGCAGAATCCAAATCATTGAAGTCCACCTTATCACAACTGTCACAACCCGCTGTCACAAATTATTAAGCTATTTAATTGATATTAGTTAATCTATTAATAAACGTTCGTGTGTGAACATGCAAGGACCATATATGGTATTGTTATGATAGTAAAAAGGTTTTTGATTGACAAGGACAAAGAGAGTCATGTAAAGTAAAATGGCATATTGTAAACACTGGACTGAACTTTGGACTATGGACTATGGACTTTCGATTTTGAAATTATATTATTTTTAAGATTTTCGTATAATTATATTAATTAAAATATAAACAGAGAATGAAAATTTATGCATATAAGATTCAAGGTAAAAAATACTATCAGTTATATAGGTATACCAGTGCAATTTCATAGATATAGCCCTGTGGGATGACAGGATCATCTCAGTAATATTTTTTATTTAATATTTAAATTTTATTATACAAATAGTTATAGTATGTATAGTACAGTTTATACGGCAGAACTTCTTTATCGTATAGATATATAATAGATTTATAGAAACAATTGTCACAAACGGTATCTGGCCAAATACAAAATATTGAGAAACTATTACGTATAAGTATAAACTACACGCGATTATTATTGCGCCTTTGGCTTTGAACAATAGTCATAGTCACTATCATACTTTATAAAATACGAATGTATGATACATTAATTGGTAGTACTGATTACTTTATGTCTATAGTATTACTTTATGTATATATTTATGTCTATATTATTGTCTATATGGCTCTTTTGCGTACGTTATGCTGGGCATTAATGATTACGATTCCCGTCTGGTTCATCACTTGCAAGTGGTATATATAGTATTACAGTAAACGTGGCAAATAGTTGCTAAACTACCTGAAGCACAGACGTAGATTTTTGCCTTCTCGCACACAACTGAGTAGGTCTTAAAAAGTGTGTAAATTTCCGTTCGAATATTCCTGTCCATCTACTAACACTTATTAATAATAACTGAAGCACTTAGTCTTAGTGATAAGGAATTAAGGATAGCTAACTAGAATGTCTCAAAAATAAGTAACATTAACTGAAACGTTACCGTGTAACGGAGTAAACAATCACACAATACAGTACTAGTATAAACTATTATGCAAAGATGAACAGTCAATAGATACATAATACAATACTCAATAGGCGCAATAATAATCACTTGTATAGTTCATATTTTGTATTTGCCGAGACACTTTTGTCACAATTGTTTCTGACAATTAATCTATTATCTATATGATAAAGAAGAAGTACTGCAGTATAAACTGTACTATGCATACTATAAATACAAATATTATATAAAATTTAAATATTAAATCCCCAAATATTGGAGAATCCTGCTATCCTACAAGCTATATCTGTATATGAAATTGCACTGCTGGTATACCTATATAACTGATACAGAGTATTTTTTTCCTTGTATATTATATTATATCATGCATGTGCATGCAGTGTAGCACGCTTTTCAGCAGCAAATTTTCGTTCTCTGTTTAGATTTTAATATAATTATACGAAAATCTAAAAAATATAATTTCAAAATCGAAAGTCCAAAGTCCATAGTTCAAAGTCCAGTGTTTACAATATGCCAAAGTAAAATTGCGATGAAATATACTGCATGTATTAATTAAATTAAACAAAAAATTTATTAAATGCATCATACAGAGAGCCGGATTGCAAAAACTTGCAAATAAGGTCTTTTTTAGAGAAGAATAACAGAATTACAGAATATTCAACCCAAATGACAAATCAAATCGGGCTTTGCCTTTGTATCAGAATTTGAACTGCAACTCACTTGAGTAAAGTAAAATTGCGATGTGCTTAATAATACTGACCACTCTAAATAATACTGACCATTCCAATTTCCATTTGTTATTTGGCATGAAGAATATATTTCATAGTATGTCACATGAAAAATTATCAGCCGGTGAGACGCGAAAGGCCCGTAAAATTTACTGTAAATCACTGTATAAAGACTGAAAGTTCTCAAAATAGCCGGTGCAAGGTGAAAGTATAAAGACTGAAAGTTCTCAAAATAGCCGGTGCAAGGTGAAAAGCTGGTAGGATTTAAATCACTGTAGTAAAAGTTCTGTGTACGTACGTACAACGCACCATAATGCATTGCGCTTGAGCTTGATGAGCCACCAAACTGTGGGGCTCGCTCAGGCTCGCCCCAACTAGAGTGGGAGTAGAGCACACTTTTCAAATACTGCAGCGTTGTGTCATTCCGTTGTAATATAGGCCTACAATACAATAATTTTTACACTATTTACGTTTTGTGATAATCATAATAAATCTGATACAATTTATACACATAGGCCTATGTGTCAGTGCAATAGACTAGTGTGTTTAAATTTGCATTTCAATAATATTAGCACGTACAAAATATTTTATTTAGATTTTAGCATTGTATGGCGGTTTCAAAATGTATAGATAGTAAGAGTTTGGTCCTGTTTGGATGCAATTCAACAATGGGACATGGCCATTGCTAAATTTGCATACGCAGATTTTATTGCATTCACAGAGTGTGTTGAAAATGTGGTATTATTACTAACTGTAACTGTTTGAGTGCAAGGGTTAACAGTAAGCAACATATTGCATGGGGTTATACCAAAATTTCTAATATTTATTCAAACATCTGTAATATAGACTATTACTTTGTTTACAAATTTTCAATGAAGTGAATCCACAACTTTCGTTGTATTTTTAGGTGTTACATGTAAATATGTCAATCATCATCGTTAATTATTGCAAAATGCAAAGTGGGCGGTAGAGCGTTTTGACATGAATTCAAGATGGCGTTGGGCAAATGTGCATAATTATTTCCTCAATTTAGCCACATGTAACTGTTGTTTGTAATTTCGTATAAAAGCAGCAGGCCTTTTCCTCTTCCTATTGGTTTTCCAGCTTTGTGGTTCATGCAATCTCTGCCAGGCACGGAACAAGCATATAATATAGACCAAATGTGTGATGACCAAGAACTACATATTTGCTGCTGTTTACTATTACAAGAAAACTTTACAAAAAACTCCTTCTTTATACAACCTCTGCTGGAGTAGAGAAATTTTCCACATTCTTTGCCACACTCTCTCTCAGGTTTCAGAAAAGGAAAGGATATCGACACCACACGCTTTAATAGCACAGCTACGAAACAATATGGCGTTTGTGAGCTGTTGTTCAACTATAGCACAACAAAGTGCCGAACGTTTTACTGCTAATGGCAATCATGATTCGGAAATCAACGAACTTAAGCATAATCTAGAGAGATTTGCTGAAAATGTCACCAACAGACTGGAGGTACTCAATGAGGAAGTAATAAACATTAAAGCGAACAAGGTTTATAATTCGAATGAAGTTTTGGAGGACATGGTTAATGATTTAAAGAATGAAAAAGCCAATCTAATCAAGGAAAACACTGTATTAAGAGAGACAAATGAAACCCTAAGACATCATGGCATGTCTAATCTGAAATCGAAGATGCGAGAACTTAAAAGTGAACAGCAAAGTTTACAGTAATCACAGTACTGAACCTACTTCAGGGCGAGGTAAATATTAAACTAGTTTACCCACAGGGTAGTGAATGCTGCCTTGGTATAGCATTGTTCCCAAATCTTTAAATGAGATTTTTGTATGTTACGTAAAACGCGCTCAAAACTAATGTGTATAATATACCACATGAGATTATGACTAAAATCAAAATTTTTATTTTTCGATATGTTACTCAATCAGTAAAAAAAAAACTTTAAAAGTATGTTTAGTATTTTATCTTAAAATAATGCTAAAATGAACAGATTTTAGATGATACGCCAGAGAGAAAATGATGTCTGAAGTTCAATACATTTTGCTTTAATGACTGTAAATATAGCGTCAATTTTATCCATCCCACTATACTTAGATCGCTTAATCACTTACGCTAGCTATGGCTTTCCATAAAAAAAAAACAGAGATGAAATATGATCACATTGCTTGTTTGCCTTATGCCTGTTTATTAGGCAAGAATAGGCTGCTGGCCCAGAAGCAGTGCATTGTGGTAGGTCAAAATATGCCCGGGGTGTGATTGATCAGTACTGTACGTTCATTATCCTGCCGGGGTCGAATTACCTTTTGAACTGTAACTGTATCTGTGCACTTTTCAAAATTTAGCCAATTGCCTCTGCCGTGATCATCAATGCTGCCGACACAATTAATGCGTGTTTTTACGAGAATTATCGATGTTTATCAGATTTGGAATGCGAAATCAAACAATATAAATTGAAGGATATATTATATTAATCCTATGAAAAAGTATTGGGACGTTGAGTATATACTTACAAAATGGCATGGTATTTATGAATGACCTTTTATCGATCTACAGTACAAGTATACATGTCGAGGATACATGTTTTTCATGGTTATACCCCTGCAGAATTTTACCTTCAAAACCTTTTTACCCCTGAAGAATTCCAAAATTCCAAGCTCAAAACCCTTTACCCCTGAAGAATTCCAAGCTCAAAACGCTTTACCCTGGAAAATTTCTAAACTCAAAACACTTCACCCCTGAAGAATTCCAAGCTCAAAACACTTTACCCCTGAAGAATTCCAAGCTCAAAACCCTTTACCACTGAAGAATTCCAGGGATCCTCGACAGGGGGGTACAAATATTAAATGGAATAGCCTGATGTAAGGCTATAACTAAGCCAAACCTGAAACAATTTTTGCATCAATTTGTGTCTGGATAAAAAATAAGTGATGGATTTAACTACAGATGTTTCCTTGTCTGTTGCTATGTGAAACAATGTTGTTTGATCAATAACAATGCTCATTTGCTAAAAATATACAAGTATTGATTCCATTTCCAAACTATTATACTATGTGAATATATTGGCAATTAATTCAATTCTATATAAAAGGAGATACAGTAGAATTGAAATAGCTACCAGTTAACCAGTTTCAATCAAATAACTACTTTAATTTCTGTATCAAGCCTCCTGGGTATTATTGTTTCCTAAGCATCATTGAGGGGGCACTTGTTCTTAATATATGCAAAAGGTCTGGTTACCATTAAAAAATGTCCATATTCAGAGTTACAATTGTACTAAATTTTATTAAAATACTGCAGAAATGCAATATATATCATGATTTTAAGAATTAATTGAGGGCTGCATGGTTAAAAGAGGAGGGGCCAGCCGAGGGGGGCTTATTTATTTTTGATTTTTGTATCCAAGAGGAGGGGGGGCTTATTTATTTTTGATTCTTGTATCCAAATGAGGGGGGGGGGGTTATTGGAGAGGAGCTTGAAGAGAAGAGAGCTAAATATAGAAATTACAGTACCTCCATTCCTTCCTCTCACTTCCCAAACATGCTGCAGGAGAGGGGGCAACTGCAGGGGTTAAAGCATGGATTGCAAGGTTGATATATTGCATGTTATGTACCTGGTAATATGGAGAAATGAGCTAGCAAATATATCCTTGCCTATAATATGTTGCTGATTAAATGTTCAAAGATACACAATGTGAAGCATGAAAAGCAAATGGAAGATACCCACTGCAAGAATTTTTCAACAAATATATACGGATTTGTTCACTTCATTTCTTACTTTTGACACAAGTAATTATAGTAATTATAATTACAAACACAATGTACTGTCATTTAAAGACTTTAGGGACTGGTCATTATTTATGGCGGGGGGTGGCACCGAAGAGAAAAGGGTTGGGTAAAGTAAATTTTGAGTAAGTAAAAGGTTGGGTAAATGAAAAACAAAACAACTCAAGGGTTGGGTAATAAAAAATTATTGTCATTTCCAAAGCATGACTCACTGAAGTATTGGGGACTAAAAAGCAATGGCAACAGTAGGCCCTACTCTGGGGCGATAACAAGATAATGCAAGTTTAATTAAGCAAATTTAGGTTATTTAAGCAAAATCTGCAATTTAAGCAATGCGAGTTTGAGCGATATAGGGCAATGTAAGAAAACAATTAAAATTTTAGGGAATGCTGTTTTAGGTGTTTAGAGGTAATTTCAGGAATATACAACTATATCCCTGATGACTCCAATGAAATTACCATTAGCCTACGCCAAGCATCCAAACATGAGTGTTCCCACAAACACACACACATGCAGTGTATGAAGCAAAATATACAATTTAACAAAAAAAGTTGAAGTCTGCTTGAGGGGATTCTGGAAACAAACAATACACTGTATGCGCATGACGATCAAGTGTTTAAAGGGTAAATAAGTTCAATATTCATGACTTTTTCCATCCATTGTCTATTTCGAAGCCATTGGGGTATTATTAAATCCATGACACAACTATAATACATGACCACATGTTCACATCATATGCAATTGCAAACAATTTTCAAAGGAGTAGGGTACAGAATTGCAATATAACAACATATAAGTAAATTATACATGTCATGAACTTACCAGTTTGTGTTGAGTTAAATTTAAAAATTTTTATGACATCAAATATTATTTATTTATTTGCAAATCAAAACATTTTAAAATTCTCGTGTTTTGTTTTGTATTGCGCCCGCGATATATTAATGGTATTAACTGCTGTGAATATGATATACATTTTTAATACATTACATTTGCGCTCAAAAGTTCAGGAAGTGAGTTTCTAGAAAGGATGAAAACTCTGTTTTATATATGGTATGTAAAAGGTAATTGTTGTTTACCATTTATTTTGTATTCAGGTATGGGGAATTTAAGCGATGAGAGTTGCAAAACTTGCAAATGTAGTCTGACTAGTTTCTTTGACGTCATCATGCAACTATTTAATATTGTGCTACATTCATTATTCAATTTATTCACGGCAATTAGCCTTCTATAAGCCATACAAATGATTATAGCTTATAGCCCACCTTGCCTTTAACATTGATCCTATATATAATGAATTAACATAACTAACTTGATTATGTTGCTAGTCGAGTATGGGACCTATGGTTCTTCTAGGACCTTCTAGATCCTCGAGTAGCACAATTAATATAAAGTCTCCGTAAGGCGGTAATATTAAAGACTGTTCTTATTTATGCATGACCTTTGACTATTAAGTGGCCAAAAATTGTGCCTACAGTAATCAACTTATTCCACTATCCAGGTTGCATCACTTTTGATTGCAAAACACCCGGGTTTATTATACATGGATTTGCTAGCAAAATAGCAGCAATTGATGAACTTGGTGTTATACTAAGATTTACTAAATGTGTAAAGAAACAACGAAAAGTATATATCAATCAGAGTCATTATCTTGATCAATTTCCGATGGGATCTCCAAAGAAAGTAGCTACATGTGCAGACAACATGAAACTTCAGACTGCAGAAAATTTCACAATCCATTATCAAACTTATGTCACAGAAGTGGTAAAGGACATATGTGACAACTGAATAGTACCTTTTGTAAATTTTTTGGCCAGGGGTGGGTATTTATTTTTTAATTGATATTTGAGGTTGGGTAATCAATTTTGTTTACTTTTTAATGGTTGGGTCAGCAAAATTTTTGCTACGAAAAACATTTCTCTTCGGTGCCACCCCCCGCCATAAATAATGACCGGTCCCTTATATGTGCTCCATGTATATATGTTAATGTAATATAATATAAAAAATGTGTTTATTGTTAAAATATGTGATATATAATACCGTAAACCTCTGACTATAAGCCCTGGGCTTATATTCTTTTGAAGCGATTTTTCATGAGCTTGGGGGGGGGGGCTTATATGCATGGGGGCCTTTATATACATGGACAATCAATTGTGTTAGTAATAAACAAGTCAGTCACTCATAAACAGGAAAATAAACATGTATTAATAACACACTTCCATTAACATAGTAAACTATAAAGACAATGACAGTGTTTCAAATATCGTTCTCTGCTATATTTAAAGACAATGTCAATGTTAAATAACATAGTGGGATACTGGGCTTATATTCAGGGGGCGCTTATATTTGGGGGCTTATATTTGGAATGAGGTGAGCATTATGGTATACTGAGGACATTTCTAAGGAGAAATGTAAGCATCGTCAACTTGAAAGACGTTGGCGTAAGTCTGGATTAGATATGGATAAACAGCAGTATTATGATCAGTGCAAACGGGTAAGGGATATCATCAAGTCGTCAAAAATGAATTATTACTCTGCATTTATTCTTGAAAACAAGTCGGATCACAAAGTTTTGTTTAATACAATAGATCGTTTGTTGCACCGCAAATCTGAAAAACACTATCCCACATGTAATTCTATCACTGAACTGTGCAATTCATTTGCCAACTTCTTTTCTGAAAAAATTGTGGCAATAAGACAAGAGATTGATGATTTACCTAACGCTGATTCTTTTGATTTTGAGCAGTTTGATGAAATGATTATTGATAGTGAGTTGACTGAACTTTTCCCAACAAGCGTCGAAGAACTATCGGCTCTTGTTGGCAAAATATCAACCAAATCGTGTAGTTTGGATCCAGTGCCTGTGTCACTACTCAAGAATTGCATCACCGATTTACTACCCATCATCTGTCAAGTTGTAAATCTCTCATTTGAATCCACTATAATGCCAACTTCCATGAAGCAAGCGTTGCTATCTCCGTTATTAAAGAAACAAACTTTGAATTTTGAAAGCTTCTCAAATTTTAGACCAATCTCTAATTTGAAATTTTTATCGAAGGTTATTGAGAAAGTAGCAGCTTCGCGTTTATGGGATCACCTCTGCACAAATGATCTAAATGAGATATTCCAGTCGGCTTACAAGAAGTATCACAGCTGTGAAACGGCACTTGTTCGAGTTCAGAATGACATCTTGAAAGCCATTGACAACAACAAATGTGTGATTCTTTTATTGTTGGATTTATCTGCTGCATTCGATACTGTTGATCATGACATTTTGTTAAACAGATTGCAGTCAAATTTTGGTATAAAGGGAAAAGCTCAAGCATGGTTTCGGTCGTATCTTACAGATCGTACACATTTTGTCAAAATAGATGGGAGCAGTTCATCAGTTCATCCTGTCAGTTACGGGGTGCCACAAGGGTCGGTGTTGGGACCATTATTATATCTGCTATACACGTCTCCATTGGGAAATCTAATGCGAAAACACGACATATCATTTCATCTATATGCAGATGATAATCATATATATACCACGTTTGGTTTCAATAATGATGTTGAACTCTCGTTGGCGACGTGTCGGGTTGAAAGATGTCTAGCTGATATCACCAACTGGATGTCTGCTAATAAGCTAAAACTCAATACTGACAAAACAGAACTCCTTGTTCTCCACTCGAAGTTTCGACAGATTTCGTTGCAACCAAACATAACTGTTAGATCTGACACCATTAAATCTAGTGAAAAAGCACGAAATATCGGAGTAACGTTCGACAGAACATTGACAATGTCACCTCACATAAATGAAGTGGTCAAGGGAGCTTTTTATCACTTAAGGAACATAGCCAAGATCAGAAAGTATATTAGTGCGGACACAACGGAAGTACTAGTTCATTCGTTTGTCAGTTCAAGATTAGACTTCTGCAATTCACTTTTGTATGGTCTACCTAAGTATGAACTCAATAAACTGCAAAATGTACAAAATTCAGCAGCACGGGTTATAGCTTGCTTGCGAAAGTATGACCACATCAGCCCAACTTTAAGAAACCTACATTGGTTGCCAGTTCAAGAAAGAATAGTTTTTAAGATTAATTTAATGTGTTTCAAAATAGTAAATAACATTGCTCCTAAATATTTACAAGAACTTGTATGCCGTTATGAACCAACAAGAATACTTCGCTCATCAGCAGATAAATGGCGTCTTACAGAACAACCATACAAATTTAAAACCTATGGATATCGGGCATTTTCGGTAACTGCCCCAAAACTTTGGAACACACTGCCAGTGGATATTAGATCTATAACTGACATTAATATTTTTAAATCCAAATTAAAGACTCATCTTTTTAAATTAGCTTATGACATATGACTTACAGTTATAAGAGATTTTATTTTAATATTTTTACTAGTTTTTTAGATATACATATATAGACATATGAGACTTATAAGACGAATCTTAATATTATAGCTTATACATATATAATAGATGTAAACTACTGTATACTTAATTTTACAATGTAAAGCGCATAGAACAGTAATGTATATGCGCTATAGAAATGTTATTATTATTATTATTATTATTATATTCAGAGGTTTACAGTATACAGTTGAAAAAAGCTTGTATTTTCTTGTCATAGACACACATTTCTGGGTGCATATAGAACAGCTTATACGACAATTTCATAAGTGTGGCCATATATGGTATAAACCGTTCAAAATTTAAATACACCATCCTTGGCACAGGAGCTTCATTCTCACGGACAGGAAGTTCTTCTACCTACCTGCATGCATTGCAGTTGAATTTAATAATCGCATTGACACTCTACATCTCGTTCTTTCATGAGCATCAGATAAGCGAGGGTTTCCAGAGCCACTGACGGAAGACATTTCAGTATGTCGATCCAATGGTAATTTGATATCGCTGCCATCACTATAATATAGTGTAGCACGGAATGGCCTTGTACGTATCATACTTTGACATACTATCATGCATGCAGAAATGCCTTAGTCATTCATGTGAAGATATGACTATCACGATAGAATTAGCTACCCCAAGTAACATGTCGTACACGTCAGGTAGCAGCTGAAATATTTTAATATTTGCCATAATATGCCCATAACCTGTTGGCAAAACAACCAAAACATCTTCATCCTTTTACAATGGCCGAGATACATTTGAATGTCTCGTCTTTTAACAAATATTCAAGCCCTCTTTTCGCAAGAACAGCTTTCATAGCTCTTTCAGTATTTGCCATGGAATATAATTTAATAGTAGTACGATTTAAAGCACCTTTAAACGTATAAAAAACCATTTTGTACACTATATTCTGATGAGAATCTTTGTTTAAAACAGTATCGATTGTGAGCCCGCACAAATTTAGTAAGCGGAATAAACAAAACCAATAAAAGCGCACGCGCCATTTATCTCAATTTGGATAAAAAAAATTCGATTTCCCCAGAGTCATGCCACTACCTAACCCACGAACAGGCATACTCTGGGAACGAGATTGACACAAACAATGAACCAAAACAAACAATTGATGTGCCACAGGGTGGAGAAGAATGTCCCACATTAAAGAGGACAGACTCAATAGGAATGCGGCTACGTTTCTATAACAGTATTGATAGTTGGAATTATTAAAGATTTAAATATTAGAATTTCCTGTCCAGGATTTTCTGTACAGTTTAACTTGCTATAGAAAAACGGGGACATGTTGCATCTTGAGTGGGTCTTCTGTATAGATCTTTATTCTGTGGTGTAGTGGACTGGAGTACAGGCTATATAGTATTAGGCTGGTTGATAAAAAAACATCCAATCTCGAAACCAGAGCCCGCAATCCTCTGTGGAGGCTTGCTGAGGCTCTGGGAAACACCGGCGAAAGTCGGGCTCTGATTGGTTGTTTTTCAACATCCTCGTCCCCAGGCCGAAGATTGTGCATCAAAGTTTTTCAAGTGCTAATTATTATTCAAACTTTGAGCCATATTTAATTATTCGGATTTCAAACATCGTTTAAAATTAATATAAAGTTTATTTCTTTTGTGTATTATGTTTAATCATATCAACATAATTTTAATAAACTTATTAATCTTCCCTAGCTTCTCATATGAAATCAATAGACTATTCAGACATTGATATGCCAATTATAAAATGTAGAATAACAACAATGCAGCATTACCATATAAGGTCATGATAAGCCATTGCCTGTTGGGGATTCCCGCCTCCAAGGATATGTATCCCACAGCAAGTCACAATAAAAGGTTTAAAACAATATATTTTCGCTTAAAAATCACAATGTTGTTATATATTTCACAATTTTCCCGAATACTTAGAAAAATGCTTAGCTTGCACTTCCGGTAGCATGGTCAGTGATGTCAGCTACCGGCAATAAAGTCCACCGGGCATATCAATCCCATTTCCGGACACACTCCCCCATGTATATCCACGGAGTGATATGCATGTTACAGTACATCCGTCAGACATACAAGTTCCAACATAATAGCGAATGTCAAATATCAACTTTGAAAATTTAGTTATTAGTCTCAAACAGTTCGTTTAGTAATCGTTGTCTTCTTCTTCCGCCATTTGTTGAATCCGCACTTCCGCCGCCGCCGCCGCATCTCTTTTTGGTCTTGGTTGAAACGTGGGTGCATTTGCATCAAGTTGAGGCGGTTGTTGCCAATCGCAGGACAGTTCTAGGGGACACAGGTGTTGAAGGGCACGTTCAAGGTTGCCAGTACCAACTCTTAATTTTGCAGCTCTTGTGATTCCATCTCTTCCCTTTATCAATTCAGTGACGATGCCTAGTTTCCACGTATTCCAGTTCTTCTTTTCGCTCTTGATGATCACTATGTCTCCGACGCTCGGGTATGGTGTTTGTTTTCCTCCAGCGTGACGATGTTGCGCACAAAGACTTCTTATATACTCTCTTGTCCAACGATTCCATACGGCCTCTTTACATTTCTTAACATGTTTGGCTCTCTTCCGTAAATCTGCTTTGTCAACGTGGTGAGCCTTCAGCTCAGGTAGGTGATTAGGGTTAATGGTTAACATCAAGTTAGGGGTTAGTAGTGGTAGTTGGACGTCGTCCTCTACATAACTCAGAGACCTATTATTAAGAGAGACCTCTACGTCGATCACAACTTCCTCGAGCTCCGTCCATCTTAATGTGCGATTCCCTATGGTCTTGTAGAATGCGTTCTTGAAAAGGCAAATTAAACGCTCAAATTGGCCTCCCCACCAAGGAGCACGACTCAAGTTAAATTGAGTCGTTCATCTTTCTGCACTTGCCAGAGCCATTTCTTGGTGGCCTTGAATGTCAAACCATTGTCCGAGTATATAAGTTTTGGTCTGCTTCAAGGTGCGATAAACCGTTTGAGGCTTGCTTCGGTTGCTTCCAATGACTTAAATAAATCTAGATATAACGCTCTTGTCAGGCTGCATCCGTACAAGGCCAGATATGCTTTGCTTTCAGTTCCGGGTTTCGACTGGTAGTAAATTGGACCTGCAAAGTCCACCCCGATTACTTGGAATGGCGCAGACCCTTGTGTCCTTGTGCTTGGAAGGTTTCCTGGGGGTGGGGATTGGTATGCTTGGGCTCTAAATCTCTTGCAACCCCAGCAGGCACTTCTCACTTTCTTGACCAAGCGACGCAATCTGGGAATCCAATAGACGTCATGTACCTTTGCCATTGTCAGCGAGACACCACCGTGTAATGTCAATATATGCACTTGTCGTACAATTCTGTGCGTAAAGGGATGACTATCTGGCAGATAGATCGGGAACTCTCCTTCATTGGAATCTGCGTTGGGCTCAAAGATTATGTCTGGTGGCTAGAATTCACTTTGTAGCGTTTTTGTAGTGTACTATGTAACACTACGGCAATATCTGCTGACTTGTAGCATTATTTTATATAGAATTCACTTTGTAGCATTTTGTAGTGTGCTACAGAAACACTACGGCAATATCTGAATCCTAAACCTTGCCTCATATGCTGGTGGCCATTCAGTTTCTTCGCTCGGCCAACTCGGACCTTGGTTCCATAGCTGATGATGATCAACGCGGCTGCCCAAATCTGCGGGGTTTTCGGTGGTCGGCACGTGATGCCACTTGACGTCATGATGCTGCTGTATCTTGTGTACCCTGTTCACAACGAACTGCCGGTACTCCCCCTGCCCACATATCCAGTATAGTGCCACAGTCGAATCAAGCCAACAATGTACCGACACTGGGTATAGATCGATGGCCAGTTGAACATTGGTCGCAAGATTGATTGCCATATGGCCAGCCACTAACTCGAGCCGGGGAATGGTTAAATTCCGCTTTGCCAACCGAGATTTCAAGCAGACGAGTCCTTGAGTTGTCCCATTTTCCTGCTGGACGACCGCGTAGACTGCCACGCTTACTCCCCGAGTGCTCGCATCTCCAAATGCGTGCAACACAATTTATAAGATTGGTTGTTGATATGGTGCCAGAGTTCGCTTAACTTCGATGTAACTTGGCAGTTTGGAGTACCATTCGATCCATTGTTTTTTCAGTTCAGCTGGAAGTTCACTGTCCCACGCTATGTTGATCTCGCAACTCTCGCTATAGAGAATTTTTCCTTGCAAAGTTGTTGGTGAGGCCAGGGCACAGAAGAGATAAGGGCAGAAGGTTCACTCAAGGGTAAAAAGTGTGCCAGAATGTGGGCCGACTTCCGGTGTGGCCGCCATGTTGAAAGCAACCAAACCAGAGGAAATTTTATAGGAGTTAATATGGCAGAATATGAAATAGAGCCACTAAAAGTGCTCTAGCTTTTTATGTATCCAAGCAAAACTCATGATACTTTGAAATATCATAAAGAAGAGGTTGTTCTTTGATTTAATTGTCACTACGAGGATCAGAAACGAATTTAAGCGTGGAATTTGGCCATTGTCATACATCGATTAATTTCACCTTGGTCTTTGGCGATTAGTGATAAACATATAAAGTTATATAGCTTATGTGTGGTTAGTCCGATCGCCGTAAAATATGTTTTGAGTGATAAGTTAGTGATATTTCATGGTGTACAAAAAGATCAAGGACGTGAATGCCATAACAATGAAGGAAATAAATCCAGTTCATCAGACCTTCAGTGAATCTGTGATCAACTATTCAATACAGTGTAATTCAACTTGGCATATTGGCGGCCTGCAATCGTATAAAATAATACTACGATATGAAAGAAATTGCTAGACCTACTTCTTCTTCTAAAATAAATTTTAGGGATAATATATTGACTTGAACCTATTAAAATCCTTTAGCTGTGACTTTACAAATTTGGTATCACAAGTGTGTCAAGTCACAACTGACAAGGCCTCGGACAAGGCCTCCTTTGACATTATCAAGGAGCCTCATTTACAAAACAGACAATAAAAGACCTGATTTATCTTAATGACAGTTTAAATTATAAATC